TGACGCCGTAGTGACGATGAAAGGACAGCCTTGAGCCCATCACCAGACTCGTACGCGTGCTGGCCTACAGATGCGCATGTCTTGTCCCATCTGGCTGTTTACATCACTCTCCTCTCCTCGTAGTCATCTCGAGAGGCATCTGAGCACCTTTTCTTGGCACCAGCCGAGATAACTAGCGGATGCAGGCCATCGCAGTCGTTGTGTGACCTGCATCACGAGCTCACATGCGATGCACATGTACAAAGGCGTTTATACCGCATCAATCACCAATGCCGTGGGTGCTGAACGAATGCATGCATCCTATCTTATGTCCTCGATATACGGAGCAAGTCCCTCGTATACGACAGAACTCATAACAATGGAAACAATAGGCAGCATGCAACTCACACACACACACACACACACACACACACACACACACACACACACACACACACACACACACACACACACACACACACAACACGCCGCTCTCGTCAGCTCGCCCATCACGCCGTCTCTCCTCGTGGCTGGCTCACCCCAGCTTTTTGCACCGGCTTCTTCACATCTTGATACTCATCTAGTGTTTCTTTTTCTTTTTTCCAAATACCGTCAGGTTACACACACCCCTCCCTCCTCTTCCTCCTTTTTTATGTCTCGCCTGTGTCTCTCATCCTTCTTGTGCCTCTCTCTCTCTCTCACTCAACCCCACGCATGCGGCCACTCGAGTGGTAGTACAAGGCCCTCGGCGAGACATTTGCTGCCTGTTCCTTTGTCTCTCACAAGCTCCTCTGGACCCCGAAATCCTCATATTGCATTCCAGATGGGACAACCTTTCATCCCACTCCGTCGTCTGTGAAACCTGTTAGTGCCGCTGACTGCAGCGGGTAGCCTAAGCCATGTACGAGTAACTGGCACGCATCCATCCTCCGGGAGATGGTAGCCACGTTTTCATTATTTTATTTGCGTATTTCTTCCCTTTCCTCCCTTTTTTTTCAATATACTCCGTACTAGGTAGTGGTATTAAGCTGCGGCCCTAATAATGTCTCGTCTCTGACCAGAAAAAGCCGGGACAGGAGAATTTCTATATTTGGACATGCCTGCATCCAGACCTTGTTGAGCCCCAGCCGCAAACATGCCAGCCGTGTCTGTCTTTTTTTGCTGCGAGCAAAGCTATGCTATCCGAGACAAAAAGCTGCCACAAATAAAACTGCCGTAGCATCGGATATTGATGGCTTGTGCGTTGTTCGGTTCAGATGCAGCGGAGCTATTGACTGATCCAGGGCCTCTCCTCCATCCCTTGCGTCTCTACCTATTTTTGCTTCCCATCTCTTCTTCAGCTGCACCCGTACTGTACCTTGCCTGGCCATCTTGACTGAGCCTGCTGATACATGTACCTTGGTATGCAAAGTACAGAATGCCGCGGTCCCTTTTTCTGCTGACTGCATGCGTTGCCCGTACCGTGTTGTTGCAGTATCCTCATGCTCATGCACCCGTACGAGACAATGGCGTACAGTAGAGCATCATCCACAATCTCACCACCGACTACATTCGATCCCGTTCTCGTGCGGGTTGGCGATTCATGCACTCCGTGTCTGTCTGCTTGAAATCCATCCGCCCCCGCCCGCCAGACACGGGAAGCACTTTTGAACCGTGTAGACCTGCTGCATGTAACAAGGATCCAAGGCCTACAGAAAGACCTGTCGTCTGCATCAACATTGCCAGTGTCCATCTGTCTGCCCAATCCTACCACTGCTGTTGATTTGATTGTTTACCCGAACCGCACTGCACTGTATACTCGAACAGCGCAACTGTATGCAGCAGCCTCGGCTAATTCTGTCAAAAAAAACAACAACAACATAAACATCAATCACAATAGAAAACCAGACAACCCGAACCAAGCCAAACCCTGTCCCGACATTTTCCAACCCCCAAAACAAATGATGCATCAAAAACCCTCTCCCCCGTCCCTTCTCGACTCGTAACACATGCATCAACAAACCCAAATCTTCTCCACCCATATAATGTTCAAGCACACTATTGTGCCTGGTTTTCAACTATAGTAGCAAAAGCAACACCATCATCACCCCTCACTCTCTTCATCTCGAAATACACGATATTCTCCTCTCTCCCCTCATCCCCCCGCTCCCCCAGACCAAGACCCGCAAGCCCAACTCGAAAAAAGCTGCAGCAACTAAAATCAACTTTGGTTGAGGCATCCAACCAACCAACCAACTACATCGCCACCACATCCTCCACCCAGCCCGTTGCGTTCCATCTCGGTCAAATCACATGGCTGGTCTGCGTGCAAACGGATGCGACGCCACGACTAATTTTCCCAGTTCAAGTGTGGGGTTCGTTCCCATGCAATACTACGTGCATTTGCATTTGCATTTTCGCATCGACATCTCCAGACCATCGACATTGACTCCAGACTGGACAACCAAAAGGCACACGTACATACAGACATGCATTTTACCATCATATTTCATCCCGCCGTAGTATCAACACTCGTACGTTGTTCCAAATAGCCCACAAAACGTCAAATCTCTCATCCTCAGCTGAAAACTCCCCCCAAAACCATCCAAATACTATCCTTCAAAACACGTGGCCCATCCCCCCCTCACATTTCTCTCTCCGCTCTCCCAGATACTAGACACTAGTATTTCTCCTCACTCTTTTATCTCCTCCAGCCAAAGCATCACCAGCTCCCGCAATTACTTGCTACTAGCACCAACGATAGTCCCCCCCCCCCCGTACTCGTAGCTCCGCATCACCAGACCGGGGTGTGATTCTCTCGCATCATCCGATCCTCGTACATCGCTCCATGGCCTTTTTTTCCCCCGTCTCTTCCTCGTTTACCCTTTTCGTTTCCCGCATCTTTGTCTAAACCACCCCGCACGATGGCTAGGTAGGTACGAATGCAACATTTAGCATGCAGGTTTTCATGGCACCAGGGCGAGTTATCGTGCGAGGATGGTGCGGGGGAGGGAACTTTGACACGAGTCAGGTCGCCCAGATGGCCATTGAGACCCATGATGAGACTCTGGGGGAAAAAATGAGGCATCGCACCAGGAAAAAAACAACGTGACAAATAGAGCACATCGGGCGACTCATCCTTGCACGCAACACATCATCGTCATCTGCTTTCTTTTTTTTCCTTCTTTTTTTTTCTCTTTCCCCCCATACTCAACTCAGATGCCGCTCCGATATCAGATCAACCGCCATCACAACACATCACGCCACGTCCAGCCAAAAAAAAAAAAGTGCCGATTGTTGCGGTAAATCTCTCCAACGGGGTCAAACACTGCAACTACAACTACACTCCACTATGAGCTTCGGAGGATTAGCACGGATCCAGCAGGTCAACGTCGCAGCGAACAGCAAAATAAGCAAGCAAAGCAAACATACCGTACTGTAGCAGTGCCAATGCATAACTCGCAAGGCATCCGTAAGCAGGGCCAGGCCAGGCTCACCGTTTCCCCCCAACCCTCGCAACGGAGGAATGTCGTAGCGCGCTCGGCGCATCTCACTCTTTGTCCCGAGGCTACAGGCTTCGCCAATCTCTATTTCTCATCTCGCCGACGTGCCTAAATCGAGTAGATGGAGCTGCTCCATCTGAGTAGCACCGCTAAGGTGATATATCCCGGTGCCTGTATGTATTGTGCACAAGTTACATGCTTGGTTGAGTTGAGACATTCCTTGACCGAGTGCAATTCATTCTTTTCATGTGTCAATTATCCATCATCAGTTCAAGAACGTCGTCCTTTGGGTCCATTAGAAGGATTGGCTGTCTTACAAACACTCTGCAGGATTCCGTAGGATTTCTTCCTGCATTCGACTTTTCATCTCCTTATTCCTCCCAAAATACGTGCACGTTCATACTCTGAGGTTGCCGATACCTTATCTGATGCAAACCCTTAATTTTCTGTCCACCACCCTTCTCAAAGTGGATGACTTGGATGACGATGAAACCGCCAGTGTCCTCTAGAAAGAATCCCTCCAATTATCCATAAAGGCCCGGGAGTTCATGTACAGGTTACCAATCTCACCGGAACGAACAAGCAGTAATCATGGCCCTTGTACGCCATCGTGCTGACCTTTCCGTTTACATTCTTCTCAGAGGAGATGAAGTTCAAGAATTCATCATCGGGGCTAAAGTACACGCCTAGTAAAGCACCACGTAACACATCCCGTAGGACAGGCTCCGTGACCACTCTGACGTGATGGTGCGACCATGGATGGCGCGGACTCGCAAATCGAAGACGAGGCCCTCCAGATCGGTGTCAGCCAGATAACGATCGGTCTTGAGGGGGTCGCAGTAGACTCGCCATGTCCATGTAAATCATTGGCATCTATGCAACACCATGAAGTGGACAAATGAGTACCATTTTTGCAAGTCATTCGTGCCGTTACCGTGACCAATCTTGATGAGGGCCATTAGGCCCTCCTCACTTGGCTACCAACTTCTACCTTTGCAGGAACTTGCCGCTTGAAGCGAACACGAAGCTGGGAGGAACATCTAGTATCTCGCGGGAATCTGTGTACACGTAAGCCTCAGCACCCTATTCAGTGTGTTCCTCAAAGATAGAATCAAGACATACTAACCGTTCGAGTCTTCACGTCCTCACCTACATGCAATTAATGAGATGATATATATATTCTCTATAAAAATAGTAATGAAAACGTAGAAAAGATTCCTATATACCGTCTTACAACCAGGGAGCCTTAGAAGAAGCCAACACAAAAAAACCCTTGTCCATCGACAAACCACAAACGATCAGTATGGCCGCTATCAATATTAGTTATTTACTTCAAATAAGTAAGTAGTCCTCCAATTGGAAAAAAAGCCAAGGTTCTGTACGACTTGGATATCTCAAAATAGCGTAATGCTCCATGTCCTCAGTCAACAGGGAGACTTAATAAGGTAATCCAAGTAAAATATATCTTCATTACACTAACTCATGATCCCCCCAAAACAATTCCACAGTCTAAATGCCAATCTCCCCACAACACCATCATTACTTCTTAAACACCGCGCCACCAATCCTCTCAATCTCCTTCCCCTCAGTCGTGTCTCTCCCCGCCGCCTCCAACAACCTCTCATACGCCGCCGCAGCCTTCAGCTTAACAGCCTCCTCCGCCGCCTTAACTCGCATCCCGCACTTTTCGTACATGGTAATCGTCTCCCCGGGCTCCAAACCAGTACACTTGGGTATAAACACCGCCGCCAAGCGCGGATTACCCGCCTGCAACGTAAGGTTGAAAAAAGGCTACCAAAGATTTCCTCGTTAGCTGGGTCCCCTTTTCCGCTATCTTATTCCCACATCATATATAGCCGGGTCCTTTTTTCTTATCCTATTCACACACCATATACACCCTGGCGGCAGCAAGTTCTTACACTCCCGCCATGTGGTTCAGATCGGGTTGGATATGACAAGTGAGAAACTCAAAAAGACTTACCGTCCATCCGATCGGGCTCTTCTTAGCCTTTGCGATATCCTCAATCTCACCCCATTCTCGCTTTGCGACAAGTGCCCGAAGCCTATCGGACGGGAACGGGGCAAAACGCCCGCCGCCAGTCAGCCGCCATTGTCCTTTGGTGTATCGCGTATAAAATCAGCAAAACCGGATATCGCAAACTTACCTAATCCACCAAACAACCTTCTCTGGCACCTTGAAGTCGCTCTGAATCTTCTTGGCCTTTCCGTGGTAGCCGAGCCGGATGAGCTTGAAGATCGTCTCGTTGACGCTCAGTCCGGAGAAGGAATCCGTCAGGTCGCGGTCTAGCGCCTCTTGTGCACGAAGGAGTTGCGTTGTTTCCTTGAGCACGTAGACTTCTGCTGCGTTATCTTTGGATTCAGAGAGGAGCTTGGCTGCAAGAGCTAGCTTATCGGATGCAGTGCGAGCATCGGGCTGTCGAAGCGACTCGCGGATGAAAACATTGGCCCCGTCGACTCGTCTATCGTCCTGGTAGTACATGTCCTTGAGAAGAGTATTGTCTCCTTCCGACAAGGCCGCCGACTCTACCAGGGCCGTTGCCGTTGGCCGAACATTGATCACCCGGAAGAATGATGCCAAAGGTAGCTTCTTCTTGAGCTTTGTGAGAACAAAAAGGATGAGATCAGTATCACCGCTTTCGATGGCCTTGTCCAGGGCCAGTTCGTCCTCTTCCATATCCAGCAGAAGAGGCACTTGTCTCCCTCCGCGTGGCTCATGGTTCAACAGCTCCGTAGCCAAACGGCCTCGTCCTTCATGATATGCAGCTCTTGCAATCTCCTCGAACGAGATACCAGGCTTGCCAGAAAGTCTCTCCACGACCAGTCGGCAGATGGTATCGTCGTCTTGAGCACCCACGCGGACCTTTGTAGATGCCCAGCTGACGTAGATGCGATCCGTCGGTAGCTTCAAGTAGCCAGCAATCTTTAGTGCCAGCAAATACTCGTGCCGCTGGATCAGTCGTTGAATAAGTCGCTCAGGGGTCAGCCTGTGATATTGCTGAAATGACAGGGGGATTCCAATCTCAAAGCTTCGGACAGCATTGAGAACCCGTAGCGTCTCACACATGTCGACAAACTCGTCGCTGTTGTAGATGTCGAGCACCGACTTGCCAAACGACGCGGCCTTGAGCAGTCGCTTCTGCCACTGAGGATCAAACTCTCGACCGGCGGCATTAACGCACGTATCGACAGCTTCGGTCAGGTTGGGCCGTATGAGTTGGATATAATCATCTGCTTTGGGGGATTGCAGCTCAAGCTGTCTCACAGCATCGAGCAGAATAGATGCGGGGGATGATTCTGAGGCAGCACCAAATGCCTGAAGCGTATCATCAGGCACCCTCTCAAGAAACTCGCAAAAATCATTCGTTATCAGTCTAGCGCCGTCGTGTTCTATTCGATTGTCAGCTTAGAGCATCTGGTATTGAGCATCCGTGTCCTACCAGACATGACGTGCACTCGGGTGCTGTCGTAGATGTAAGACGAAGACTCATCACCCGGCCCAATAACATGGACCTCGTCTTCCCAAGCAATAATGGCATCGCTGCCACACCACTCCACGTACTTGGGAGGTGTGTGTGAATTCGAGTTGTGCTCAAACAACCTCTCCTGGAAATCGCTCGATATGACATGCGCCTTACCATTCTTGCCATACAAGTTGACAAAGCGACCGTCGGGCGAGACACTGACGTGTGAAAACGGCCCAACATCCAGAAACCGGTCCTCGCAGTCCGTAGCATCAACCACGTAAACAGTCGACCCAATACTGAGCAAAACTTCCACGGAGCGAGACAGCGTGTGGTTCGGGGCGACGATGGCCCATGAATGAATCTCTCCTGCCGGGACAGGGGCCAGCAGCTTTGGTCGGGGCTCTGAATACGACGAAACCGTCACCAGTGTGTTGTTCCCCAGCAGGGCCACCATGCCGTTATCGTAGAACCTAGACACGACCGTTTCAGCGCTCTCCTCACCCTCACTTGGCCTCACAAGTAGCTGCATTTACCGGCACGACTCAACTCCATAGTTGTCCGCCCCGTTCCCCAGCGAGAAGTGGCTAAAGTCCCCCTGCATATCGTAGCATCTCACGTTGCCGTCCGCCGCCACCACCAGCAGCGACTCGTCCTCGGACCATCCCAGGCCCTTGATGGCGCCGCTGTCCCAGGAGATGGTCCGCAGCTTCTTGCCCGCCAGGCTGTAAATGTCAATCCCCGGCTTCGTCGTCTGCCCCGCGCGGTGAGCCTGCAGCTTCGAGTCGTCCCGCCACAGCGCCAGAGCGCCGGCATAAGGCGCGCCCGTCACGACAAAGGCATCGAGGTCCAGATCCTGGCCAAAGACGGCGGTATACTGCTCCGTCTTGCGGAACCACTTGTCGCCCACGCGCTCCCAGTCGGCTCTTGCGTGAAGCGTGTCCATGCTGCTGCTGTCTATCTCATCTCACTCTCATGACGAACCGCAGACTGACAATATCACGGCGATCTCATGTAGCGGTATGAGATGAGATGGATCAAGTTGGTGAGTGACAAGCTGTGGATGTGAGGTTCGTTCGACCCCAGAGCTAGCCATAGCTTCGGCCAATGGCAGGCGAGGCTATTCGTCGGCTAAACAAGGGGACGTTGCTTGCATCATCTGCCAGCGCAAAGTTACAGCGACACATGCAAACTAAAACCCCACCAAGTTCATGTCCAGCGACCGTCTGGTCTCATCATCGAATAATAATCTTCTCATCCATGTAGATTTTCTCCGTGGAATCTCTATCTCTCATGCACACCTCTATCAAATATACAGTTTCTTTTACAGCCCCTCTCAACAACTTGTCCAGTTACAAAATGCCAAACTGGAGAGACGAATATCTCTCTTCCCTAAGGGAATCAGAGCTCAACAGCCCCGTCAACATGGAGCTCGTCCAAGCCTGTTCGCCCAACTTCCTCACTCACCCCATCTACAAGACGCACGGCTAACCATCGCCTCAGGTTCACAAATGGCAGACCGCATCTCATCCCTGGAAGCCGAGAAACTCGCCTTGGAATCTCACCTCGCCGGTCTGGGGAACAACCGGTCAAAGTCGCCATCCCTCCAGCCAGGCGAGGCAGCAGCCAACGATCCTGGCGTGGCTCAGCTTCGTCTTGACCTGGCTGAGGCTTTACGCTCCAGAGGTGTGGCAGAGACGCGACTGCGGACCGCGGAAGAAGAACTGGACAAGCTGCGCTCAAAAACGAAACAGGACTCCAAATCCATCAGAGATCTCACTGGAGAGCGGACAACCCTTGCCACCAAGGTAAACGACCGGGAATACGAGCTCAGAGAGAAACGGAAGCTAGTCGAGGTATTTAATCTAATCAATTTATACATCAGCCCCCATCTTTTCAACCAAGTGTTCGCTAATGCAACAAACAGAATGTCCAAGACGAGATGATTGCACTAAACCTACAACTCTCCATGGCGGAAAAGGAGAGGGACCGGCTCAAGAAGGAAAACAGCGAGCTCATCGACAGGTGGATGAAGAGAATGGGCCAAGAGGCCGACGCCATGAATCTGGCAAACGAGCCCACGATGGGAAAGGGGCGGTAGAGAGGAAAAGCACCGTTCCGTTCCGTTCCGTTCCTCCTCACGGTGGTAAGGATGGCCTATTTCATTCATATTCATTTGTACTGTTAAAGTCTGTTTCTCATCCCATCATCTACCAACGCGTTTGTCTCGCTGTCGATGGCTACAACTCGTTGAAACAAAAAAAGATTATCCTCCAAAAGCCGTTACCCCAAACGCTCTCAATCCAGACGAGAGAGAGAGGGAGAGGGAGAAAACAAAAAATACCCATATACCCGATTTGTACTCGATGATTTATATTCTACAATACTCAACATAACATCTTTATGCAGTGCTGATGAAGCTCTAATTAGTCTATTTCCGCGTGGAGATATAGTACTGCCCGCCGGCGTTGGTCCAGCTGACGTAGCCTTCGGGATACGTGCACTCCTCGACTTCAAGGATGGTGCTTCCCACGTCGTTGATGTTGTGGCTGCTCTTGGAGTCGGCCACAAAGGATTTCAGCGAGATGATTTTGCATCCCGACTTGAGGTCGAGGAACATGCGGATCAAGTCCTCGTTGAGCTGCGAAGTAAACGCCTTGTTGTTGACGAGCACGACGTCGGCCCGCTTCAGGGCATCGTGGATCGAGGCGTTCTTGCGGAAGTCACCCCGTTCGATGTGTACCTCGCCCGTCTTCAAGCCCCAAAGCTGGCATCGCGCATGAAACTCCTTCTCTTGAGCCTCTGCCAGGTTGCTCGCATTCTCCATCATCTCACAGCCCCAGCTCTCGCATCCGACTTCGAGCGCTGCCTGTAAAACGACGTTGCCCACGCCCGAGCCCAAATCGACAAAGACTTGGTCGGATGTCATGTTGCACTGCTCGACGAGGAGCTTGGTGATGAAGGGGTGGAGAAGTTCGCCATAGACAAAGTCTGTTCCATTCTCGTACTTGGAGAGAAGTTCCACCTTGGGAGCCACTGTACGGTCATAGATCTGGTCGAGGATAAAGGCTGCGAGATGCGGGGGCAGTTGGTGCAGGTTTTCGAGGTTCTTGGCCACGACGCCGTCCTCGACCAAGGCGAGGAGCGTCTCGTTGTACTCGCGTAGAGCGGCTTTGAAGCCCGCCAGGTCCTGGATGTTGCGATTCGAGGCTTTTTCAAGTCGTCGAATGAATCCGTTGGTCTGGTTGGTAAAGGGCTCGGCCTCGACGTCGGTGAGATAGGTTTCGGCAACCAGGCGTACTATGCGTATACTCGCCTCTACGGCATCGATCTTGTCCTTGCCCCAAACGAGCTCAAACCTGTTCTCTTGTTAGAAAATGAAACATGGCCATTTACCTTCTGAATAGACGAAGCATTCGGGAGGGGTGGGGTGAGGGGCCGCGCGGTTTCAGACGAGGGGAGATGCGATGAGAATTGACTGACTTTTCTCGACGCTGCAGAGTGGGATATTGTAGCTCAATGGCCACATCCTCCTTGGACGCTCCCATGATGGGAACGCACTTGTGCTCGAGCGAGGCAACGTCAACGGCATGGATGAACTGCAGCCTCTCATCCTTGCGCTCAAACGCCCTGGCGTTCTTCAACTTGCGATTCGAATCGACCGACTTGCTCTCGCTAGTGGCCTTGCGCTGGCGCTTGTGCGAATCCAGATCCATCCACCCATCGTCTTCGGCGTCGCTGTCCTTGTCGAACTCGATGCGGTCGCTGGCAGGTGAACGGCGTTGTGACGCGCTGACGGCCTTGCGTTTGCGCTGCAGGTCGAGGCGCCTCTCGTCTGCCGAAGAGGGGTACGGCGAGCTGCTCTTTGCCCTGGAAGACGCTGACGACGCCGCAGAGGCCGAGGGGGCCTTGGGCGAGAGCCTGGGGACGGGCGATGATCGCGCAGACGACGAGAGCGCGGGTCGGGATGCGGGCTTGGGCTTGGGCTTCGGAGGCGCGGGACGCTCTATGGTGACCTTTTCGATGCGGATCTTGGGCGGGTCGACCTTGAACTTGTTACCCTTTCCACTAAGGAGAGGCATGATGGCGGCATCAAACAGGCTGGAGTTGGAAATCTCGAGTTTGCGCAAAAAGCAGGAAGACGGCGAAATCCGGGTTTGGTGGAGAGACGGATCAGATCAGGCGGTGCTCGGCTCAGGGGTGTTTTGCGCTTTTTCAGCCGAGGGGTCCCTCTCTCTGCCTAGCCGGTTGTCGTGGGAAAAAAAAAAAGACTGCCTTGGGGGGGGAGGCCGATGGCGGGCACGCGACGATGCTGAAGAGAGTGACAGCCAAGAAAGACCCGGACTTGGTTTACGGGACAGGGTCGCGACAGGGCGATGACGGCAGCGGGTGGCGGGGGAGGCGAAAAAAGAGCCGTTTTGAATGAGGGTTCAAAATAGAAACAAAAGGAGTGGCGGTGCTTCGATGAGAGGCTGGAAAGGATGGACGGAGAGAGAGGCTCTGGGTTGGTTGGAACAAATGATGAAGTAAACGTTGGATTACAAGAAAATGAAGAGCGAAAATAATGTGACAATGTCGAGAGAGAGGGGAAAAAAGAGAGAAAATACAAGATTAGTAAGAATGAGAAACTAATGCTGCTTCGACCAGAGTTTTTGTTCGTTCTACCCAGAGAGAAGATGATGGAGATCGAAAGGAGGGAAGAAAAAAAAACTGGTCGCGTCCAGCCACGAACAATTGAGAGAAAGCCAAAGCGGATTGGCAACAGCCAGGCCAGGCCCAAGGTGGAAAAGAGAGGAAGCTGCCAGCTTATGTCAACCTCGAGTTTCTGTGCATTTTGCATCCTGCCAGGCCCCAGCCATTGAATCTTACTGGCTGCTGCTGCTTGCCGTTGGTGCTTTAGCGGGCGGTTTTAGCGGGTGGGACACGCTGCAGCCTGGGGAGGGACATAATCATGGAGGCAGTTGAAGTTCGGGGCAAGTTTCCAGGCATCTGGGCCTTGTAAAGTCGACGGAGTTTGTGCGGTGGCAGGTTTTTTGGCATGTTCTGGGTGCCCCACAAATGCCTTTTTGCGTCGAGCGCTCCGATTCGCGGACGGGGCACGTGCCAACTTGTGGGGGCCAGGGTCCGGGTCTTTTTGATGTCATCGTCGGAACGGAGGATTGATTGCACGATTACCCTGGAAAGATGTGCGATTTTCAATGTTGTATTGATGTCATTGAAAGGGACCTCATACTCGTACACTCATAATTCTAGAATGGCTGCGTATAGGCCTATGAGAAACGTCATATCTTTCATGATTGAAAATAACATACAATACAATATGCATAGGCCGTGTGATGGATTCACTCAAGCTCTACATTTCCCCAAGCAGCATTCATACGCCAAGAGGTGTAGCGAACATCTATATTCTCGTGTCTTAGATCATTTTCTCCTACTTCCGCCTTCATTCCGCCTCAGAGCATGCCAGCAAGCCACCGTCATTATCCATCTCCATCGAGTCAATCACAGCACCCTCGTTGGATGCACCTTTGTTGGATAGCAGTTCAATAGCAGCTTCATACTCCCACGCCTGCGCCATCGACAGTGGTGTTATACCCTCTTTAGATCTTAGATTAGGGTCTGCCCCAGCTGCAAGCAATTTCTTAATAGTGGCCTCATGCCCTTCATGTAGTTCATCCAGGGAAAAAACTGCATGTAATGGTGTTTCGCCATGTTCATCTCTGAGATTTGGGTCCGCACCGGCCGCGAGCAAGAAATCCACGGCCGCTTCAAAGCCTACCGATGCTGCGTCGCATAGGGGTGTTCGGCCCTTATTATCCCTAACATCCGGTTTTACGCCGGCTTCGAGGAATAAACCTATAATACTCATGGAACCATACCTGTAGTTTTCTGCCGCCATGTGTAGCGCTGTTGAGCCGTATTCGTCGCCGAGATGTGGGTTTACCCCAGCGTCGAGCAACAATCCCGTGATAAACTCAGATCCTGTAAATGCTGCACTATGTAATAGGATCGTGCCATCTTCATCACTGAGATTGAAATCCGCACCAGCTTCGAGTAATAGCTTCACAATCGTTTCATAACCTTCGCTTGCTGCGTACCATAGGGGCGTGTGGCCGGATATGTCTCTAAACTCTGGGTTTGCACCAGCTGCGAGTAACAGTTCCACTATTGCCTCGTGCACATTCATTACTGCTAAATGTAGTACTGACCCGAGAGTCGGTCTCTCAGGGTTGGAATTCACATCTGCTCCAGCGGCGAGCATTAGCTTCGCAACGGCGTCATGCCCTCGAAATACTGCATACCCTAGTGTTGTGTTGCCCTCGCAGTCTCTGAGATTGGGGTCTGCTCCAGCTGCAAGCAACATTTCCACAAGAGTCGCGTCACCCTTATCTGCTGCACACATGAGTGGTGTCGTGCCTCTTGTGTTCCCGAGATCTGGTTCGGCTCCGCCTGCAAGTAACAGTCCGACAACGGCGGTATGCCCTTTATCTACTGCTCCGTATAATGGCGAATCGTGATGTTCACCGTTTGAGTGAATGACAATGTCAGGCGTTGCAAGAAGAAGTTTAACAACATCCTCATGTCCGTTGTATGCTGCCAATGATAGTGGCGTGTTCCACATAGTGCCGACATTCGGATCTGCTCCAGCTACGAGTAATGATTCAACAATACCACCATGCCCGAACTCTGCTGCTCTCAGTAATGATGTACCTTTAGGGTCAATGTCAATGTTAGGCATTGCAAGCAATAACTTAACAACGGTCTCGTGCCCCTTACGTGCTGACCATGATAGCGGAGTTGATCCACATTCGTCTTTCGTATTGACGTCGATTGTTTTCTCGAGAAGGGCCTTGGCTGTTTCCCCAAGACCAAAGTAGGCGGCCAAGTGAAGGCCTGTCATTCCATACCTTGGTGCTTCATCTCCATGTCTTGGTGTGTGATCATACCTGAACGCCTCGATGGATGCTTCTATTTTTGTCTCACATTCTAAAAACTCCATGACTTTGCGGCGTAGCTTGGAAGCCTTTCGCGCATGGTGCCCCCAATTTTGAGCGGCATAGCTGTAGAGAGGATATGTTTTTGATCGTTTCCGAAAGCCATTGCCCATTGGCCCTTCTTCGAAAACTCTAAATAGGAGGTATGAGGCACAGATATCTGTCATGATCATATCTGAATCAGGAAACCAGCGTGTGCGTGTTTGGCTAAAATATTCCTGTGCTGTGTAATGAACCAATCTGATGATGCTACTTTCGTAGTCAACCGTGACTAGTCCAGCACACACCGAGACCATGTCACGGGTGGATGGTATGTTCTCTTCGTCAATCTCCGACTCATCGATTTCGACAGCAAGCGCGTGCTGAAGCTCGGCTATGGTAAGTTGCCGTTCTGCACAAACAATCCATAGCAAAACGTTATGAGCAAGTTCTCTGAACCCTGATTGTTGCCCATTAATTCGCAACATCGCTTGCTCGTATGCAAGGGCTAGGATCTCGGCATTTTTAGTCTCGCCCAATCCTGAATTTGCCTTCTGAAAACTGCTCAATGCATTTTTGATGGCCTTTGGTGTCATTTTGTCGTTGAGTGAGTTCAGATAGATCTGTGCCAGGAGAAACCTGCCGAGCGTCAATCCTCCAGTTGCTCTTTGTATTGGTCAGAAACGTACATTCCATCGACAGCTTGCGAAATCTCTGCTGCAATCTTCTGCTGGAGCTCTTCATTCTGTTGGACAAACGCTGGTAGTTGACCGGTATTGCCTTTCAAGTATCTCTCTATGTCTTCGGCGCTTGCGCGGATCTCTAGTGATATGCTTGCCTCACTACAACGGTCAGCGATCTCTGGAATGGCCCTCGATGTCAAAAAGAGATTCCATCCACATGTCTTCTGAAGGTTGAAGAGCTCTGTTATAAACTTTTGCCGGCTTCCATCCGAATTTTGGCATTCATCAAGTGCGTCAATCACAATGAAGACCGTCGAATAATTTTCTGCTAGTGAATGGAGAGCCGTCTGGATCTGGAGCAGAGATATTTGCGTCCGCTTCTCTATATGGTGCTTATAAAAGCCCCTGAGACGGTTTGAGATACAGTTCTCTCCTTGACTCAGTTGTTTCAGTAGGCTTGCGAGTAACTTGTCGATGCTTTGTTCTTCTTGGCGCCGATAGTTGCAGTAAATGTAGGCAACACGAATCGTTGGATCGGCTCTATATGTCCTCTCAAGATGGTCGACCACGATTGAAGTGAGGATAGTCTTGCCAGCTCCTGGTATTCCAGGACAGAAAAGTGTTTGCTTCTTCGCCCCTAGCCAATCCTGATACTCTGTCGAGTCTATGAGCCATTGACCGGTTCCTGGTTCCCGCCTCCTGAGGAAATCGCTTTGTTGAGGTCCATAGTCAATTGAAGTGACCCATTCTAAAATTCGACGGTCCATGTCGTTATCCAGACTGGACTTGATGTAGGAAACGCCAATGTTTGTTGAGGATACTTCGGTAGACACTGTGTTTTGGTTAGTAATGTGTTTGATATAAGATGAGTACAAGCAATATAAATTATCTAACCGTCGCTAAGCATGTTTTTTACCGTGTGCTCTCCATCAACGTCGCTGGGGCTCACGTAGGCCAGAAGCTCTTTAGCAAATGCCGCCGCCACGGCTGCAGCGTATTCTTGCCAATCCTTATTCTTATGCGAATCTGCATAATCACAGATTCCTCGACAGATTCCTCGGATGACAATGCAGGGAAAGTTATTCATCAGCCCTGCTGCTTCCATTTCAACACAGAGAAGATGTCCACCAAGGTGTTTATTGAGTTGATCTCTGAAGGCGGCACTCTTGATGACTTGGTTACCCGAGGCGATTAGGCCATAGTGAACACGCATATCTCGAGGCTTTCTCTTGATAACCTTGGTCTTATCGCAATGCTGGCAGCTGTCTTCTTTTTCGCTTTCATAAGTACTGTCAGAAGAAACGTGATCCCCTGTGGTGATCTGGCAAACATGGCTGCAGTCTGCCTTGAACAAGACATCTTGTAGCGAGTCGGATTTGAGATATTTTGCTGCCAATCTCGGCCATTTCTGTTTCATCTGATCCAAATATTCTGGGACCTGAGATCCAACCAATTCATGCTCTGTTTCCAACTTCGCCAGCGCGGTGAGAAGGGAGACCGGAGGATTGTTCAGTGATCCCGTCTGTTCGAAGCCCCCATCCTTTGCCTTGCCACGATCCCACTGGACCACTCCGGGAAAACTTCCGACTGGAGTACTGACGACGACATCTCCAAGTCTGACCTTGGGCGGGATGCCACCGCCGATGCCAACCATCAAACCAAACCTGACAGACGGAAACGTGGAGACCATTTGAGCGGCAACTGTTGCCGCTGGAGTGTTCCCGATATGGCCTTTCGGCAAACACGCAATGACAATATTATGTTTGCCGATTGATCCAAGAGTATACGTATTCGAGTCATTTGCTGGCTTCGGTAGGTCGCCGTGTCTCTGATCCAGCATGGCCGTGGCTGCAGTTTGTTCCTTTGGCAGGGCGCAGACCCAGCCTACTGTATATTCATTGTGAACTTTGATATCGATGATTGGTTGTTCGTCCATCTTGGTAGTTGTTTGGTGTAGTTTTTAGGAACGATCAAACCGGGCCACGAAGAGGGGTAATCACAGTTTATTCTTCTTACCTAGCTGCTGAAACTATTGGTCTTCATTCGTTATAATCCCATGCGGATTCAGCCAATAATTACCATCCAGGCCCGACGGGGTACACAGACTCAGCCTCGCGGGCTTCGCGCCAATCACCCAGTACCAGGCATCGCCTAGAAGTCATATCAATGTCTAAACTGGATGTTAGTGATCTCTATAGTGATAATCTTGACCAAGCTTATGAATTGTGTAGGAGGAATAACAGGGGCGGCCATATTTTATGCGAGAATATCCTCTGTGAACAATTCAGTTTGTAGATGTGAGTTTTCATGAGGACTTCCATATACTCGGTATGCTGCATGAGGTACGAGAGGTAGCCATACCTAGTACGTGGTAGTACAGCCTGGATACCAAATAACTACTAGGTAGGTAGTAAAAGAGAGTCAAATACTCTGCCATTAAAGCTACTATAGGTACTACCTAGTAAATACCTATATACTTTGTACTCTAGATCACTCCCATTTACATGAACCACATCCTCTTATACAACGCCAACACCATATCTACTATATCATCCCCCCAACGACGTCTCTGTACATGCGCAATTCTCCTTGCCCAAACTACATCCATCCACCTCAAACACCCCAGCCCGATCATAGAAATACACATCAGCCATCCCATTCTTCCAATTCTCCCGCCCCTCGACAAACGCCGCTCGCGTGCTCCTACACCAACAAAACACCAACAGTCAGCTCAACAAACACCATCAAAAGCCCCTACTCTCCGCCCAAAACAAGCAAACAAAAGTCAAATACTCACTGGAACCGAACCATCGTCTCCCCATTACACACATCCACAATGAAATACAACTCCCCCACACCCACATACACAGGCCGTACATCAGCCCTCTCACCCTCCTCTTCCACCCCCCTCCTCTCATACTCCTCAAACGCAGCAACGTCTTCTTCTCGCCACTCCCCATGGAGTTCCTCCGCTCTCGCTTCTCCCATCAACTCATACAAATCACCCCCCTCATTCTTCCTCGCAAGACAATACCCACAACTCAACTTGCCGCAACTCTCCAGACTACATCTCGGACGCTTCCCCGTCCTAGCAATAGCTTCGCGGCGGTGCCGAGCTTGTGTGATTTCAGCATAACGCAGCCCAAGCCTCAAAGCCTCCATAAACTTCTCATGTGGCATCTGTCGCCACTCCTCGCCCCATATGAGCTGCTTCAAAATATCCCCATCACGCATATAATCGAACAGATTCTCCACTCTACCATGCGGAAATTTCTTCCTGATGTTATGAAACATCTGCTCTGTTTGTCCCTGACGACGCCGATACCACCGTTCGGCAATCTGCAAGAAATGGTATTTGCACAGCGTGGCCGCGGGATCGTGAGGGAACGTCTGGTAAAACTCGAGCCGTAAAAGGTCCTCGTAGGAAGGCGGTCCTGACTCGTGCTGCTGTTCAAAAAAGGTTGGCTTGTATCGCGGTATGATGGCTTCGTGAAGTGTTGGTGTATGGGCGTCGTCCGGCGGCTCCATTGACTGGTCCGAAGGAGAAGAGGAAGAAGAAAGAAAGTCGCGAGTGTCAACTAATGACCATGGATGTGGTGAGGCCATATTCGGATCAGAGACTTGTGCAGAGTCAGGAATTTGGACAAGCATCATCTCGTCTTCATCAGCATCATCTCCATCTTCAGGTCGATCTGTAAATGTTGACCGTAAACGCCTTGAATCAGTCTGAGGACCATACTCGTCATCGCCATCTTCTTCCTCCAACTCGAAACCAGAGTCTTCTTCACTCTCATAATACCTGGGCCGTGAATCTGTATCATCGTCATTTCCACTTTCGGCCCTGGCCTGAGCACGAGTCGTGACCATGGTTGATAATACGGCAATCGCAAACGCCGAGAGAAAAAACATGACAGAAAATCGATGCCATCAATGGAGAGAAGAGGAGCGCCCGGGGACTTGTGAAATAAAAAGACATCTGAACAAAGGAGAAAGTATCCTATGCAATTCGTTTGTATTTGCATTTGATTCACAATACAAAAGGTAACAAAAGCCATCATCATGGCGAGCCTTTGTCTTCATTCAACATAACCTGTACAGAACAATGTTACATCTCTTTGACACCCATTAATACCAATGCCATAAATAGTGATCCAATCCCAATACCCATCCATACCAAACCAACCCATGCATAAACTCCGTGCAACGCTAAAAGCATCGTAAAAATAGCAAAGCTCAAACGCCAATTCATGAAGCTTCCTGTGATTTAACACCGTACTTTGGAACATGAAAATGGATGTTGCTTCCGAAAAAGGAACTCCTCTGCTCAGGCTTGTTTGCGTCCTCGTCGTTTGCCCAGCTTCTTGTATAATTTCCACAAATGTCGCACGGTCCCTCTGGAGCTATTATGAAGCTTTCTTGAAACACCGATACTTCGACTTTGCGTTCAATACCCGAGTTTCGACGCCCTTGCGCCTCAATTTCTCGGGTCGATGGCTCGGGAAATTTCTCGTACAGATTTGTTACCTCGGGTGTGACAACAATGGTTGCGTCCGACTCGGCGAGGCTGTGTTGTCTTGTAGAAAATCGTTCCGAATAAATAAAACTGTTGAACGCGGCATCGTCAAAATCTTTTTCGGGTGGATAAGAGGGAGACGTTGGTGGTTGATGAAACAGCCCTGCTAGATCAACTGCAGCAACAAAAATGAACATCTGCCAGATCGCCCAAGATTCTGCGGCCTGCTCTGCGTTTGAATGTTGATCCTTGACATCGACATTAGTTTTGGATTGCCGCCATAGCAGAAGAACCAAAGGCCAACTCACCGATACTAGAATGATAGCGCGCGCAGCTGCGGCGGCCGTTGCAAGAAGCCCGCAAACAAGCGTTGCGACCCACTGAAGCTTTTCCCACGTGGGTTTGTCTTTTCTGGTGGCGACAGAAGTAGCAGCAGACGCCAGATAGAGGTCTGTAATGATATCGAAGCTGAAGTATACCCAAACCAGCACCGGCGAAGTAGCAGGCTGGCAGTACAGTCCTGGGCTGGGATATACCTGCCACATGTGAGGCAACGGTCGACAGCTTTGGAGGAGAGCCATCGTCGTTGCTACCCATGTTGCAGCCAGGAAGCCAAAGCCAAGATACTGGTGGGTTTGTCGTCTACCGGATTCGGGAACTCGACGAAGGACATTGGCGAGAAAGGCTGCCTTGAACGTCCACAACGCAGCGGAATAGGATAACCAGCTGTATAGATACAGTTTTGATCCCAGTTCCCTGAAACAGGTTAGATGATGGCTGGGACGATGAGACGGTGGAAGGCATTACCTCATCTGATCTTCGTCATGGCTCGGCTGTGTTGCAGTATTGTTGCCGACAGAGTGATTGCCCATCCAATGGGTCCGCGTGTTCATCATGTACGCCAACACCACATTGGGCACAAAGAGAATCTGGAGCTAGTGTAAGAATAGGTGTAGATGATGAATGTAGAGTGCATCACAGAGACACTCACCACTCCCGCAATGGCAAGTCCATCATCAAGACCAAGATTCTTCATTCCAGCCTGCCGCCAACGGGCGTATAATCGCCCGCCTATGGAAACCAGGGCGGCGCCAAGGAGAAGAAAGATTTGAATCGTCAGTGCTTCCGCTTTTCCCATGTTGTCTCGGTTCATTGGTATCGTCTCAATGTCCCTGGAAGAGATTTGGCCTTTGGCTACTATCATCACGGTGAAATGTTGAGGGACAAAAGACAAAGAGGGAGGCTGGACGCGGCATGAAAGTAATATATATAATTTGCCACCGCACGAGGTACAAGGAGGGGCCCTCAGCTGTTGTGAAGTCCGGGATCAAACCATCCAAGTACAAAAGATAACCTGCCCACCTCTCCCCAGCTTTATCCAGCTTGTCTCGACCCACCCAAGGGCAGAGCAGCGGCTCTTTGACCCCAGACCCCAGCTCGAAATGTCTCTCATCTGCATTCCCGGCAAACGACGAGCACGTTGGCATCAGCAGAGCTGGCAACCTTCCCAAAGCGCTGGGCCCGGCACCTTGACGCCCCCGCGCCAACGGACCGAAGTCGAGACGCAGCAGATCGCATGACTCGTCCCATTTGCTTGGGCCTCGACGCCCTCCGGATCAAAGCTCTCTCCCAAGCTCTAATCACAGCACAGCACGACGGATTGAGTTGAGCTGTGCACTGAGCTGAGGTGGCGCGCGAGAGGGGCGAAAGCAAGGAGCTGTCAGTGCACAGCAGCTAGTAGTTTGTCTCACGCCACTAAAGCGCCCAAGCAAAGCGGTTGGTCCAGGCTTGGTCTTGTCCAGGGCTGAAGAGTGGGTAGGCCTTAGTGTAGCGCTCCGTTTTCCGTCTCTGTCGCTCCATTCGGAAGACTTGCTGCGGCCCTGCTCAGACCCAGCCGAGCCAGCTTTGGGACCCAGCCTTGGCCCTGCTCTCCGGTGTGATATGCGGGGAAATGCGCTGTCGCTCACGATGATAGCGCTGTGCCTGCTCCGTAGCGCTGAGTCTGACGGCCAGGATGAGCACCGATTTCGCCTGGAGATCGATGTCCCAACAGACGATGCCATAATTGGCCCGCAATATGCGACCGTTGACTCGCGCGTCTTGTCATGTACAAGTACGAGGACCCGTATCAACCAACCGCCGATGCATGTGATGTGATGAATCGTAACGCAAGGGATAATAGAGTGAGAGAGAGGAAAAAGAAAAGAGAGTCAAAAGGAAATTGGCGATTGATAAGAGTGGCTGGACTAGGACCACGGGCCGCTCTTGCCGCAGTTGACTGTCGGGGGCGGTTGCCTGGCATGTCTCACTGTAATGTAATTCTGTTTCCGCAGGCAAGAGCCAGCGACAGTCAGCTGCGCTTTCCTCTCCTCTCCTTTCGCTTCGACTTTCGCTTCAACCCCTTTGGGATTATTCAATTATTCAATTATTCACATTCTCTTACTGTATCCGTAGGTGCCTATCATCGGTAGGGTTTAGTCTCACCACATGCACATGCACGTCCATCATCCGACCGATCAATCAACCGCCAGCCTCCACATGCATTTCCGCTACTGTACGAGGGCCTATTTCTGGGACATGCATGAGAAATGTCAGGATTCAGAGCATTGCCGTCGTCAAAGACCTGATCCGAGGCTCCAACCAACGCCCAGGTCGAGCGGAGACACCACAGTACAACCCGCCTCGGCGAATTACGAGTACCCTGACTCCCAGAGCGATACGATGCAAACGCGAGCAGAAATACGGAGTACGAGGCTTGGGAATCGAAATAGCACACCGGCATTGGTCCAGAACTCGCACCAGGGCCAGGTTTTGCCTCTCGGAACCCACCGCGGTCAAGGACCCCCCCGGCTCTTGTCAACGATAGCCGGCAACGAGACCTACGAACATCTTTCCCGCTCACCGAGCCACAAACTCCTCCTCCTCAGTTAAAACCTCGTGTGATCAGACCTCAAGCGTGGCAAACTATTTACTGCGAGCAAAAAAAAAAAAAAGACTGCTCTAGACCCGGAGCGAACTGGTTGGTGTTCGCAGATCCGCCGTGAGCTCTGGCGAGATCCGCTGGCTGGTGGAGTCGGCTACCAAGGCCTGGGATGCTAGATCGCCTTGTGCATCCAATGACTTTTGCTCCGACACAGGCTCTCGGCACTCGTCCTGCCTCCCCGTTTTAGCGGCGGTGGAGCTTTGGAGTAGTGCTGGACTAACCCCAGGATGAGGAGGGCTAGATCTCCAAGGCCAATGCAAGGCAAGGCAAACTTGAGGGGAGCAGGAGGGGGATGAGAAGAAGCCATGTCCATGTTTGTTTTTACGCTTGTCGACCGCTGACTCTATCAGGTGCCATCCTATCTGTTCTGTCTGTCTGTTTGTCTGTCCACTCTGACTCGCTCTACCTCTTGAGCGTCTTTTGCTTCTCCGCATCTCGGGCGACAGTCCTACCCTCCACCAACAGGCCCTTCTTTCTTCGCACGCCATCCATGTACCTCTTCGCTACATTTTCCTTATCGGCCAATTCTCCGAGGTCCTCCAAGTCGTCCTCGGTAAACGGCACCCAGAACGGATCTTCATCCAGGATCTCAAATCCGGCAAAAATCAGCTGTGGCTGCGCCGCCCCGCTAGTCCTCTTGCGCATCTCGTCTGCGAACCCAAAGCTCTCCGCTACTGGTAGCATAGCTTGGATGGTGAAGAAAGGCGTGCCCTCTTTCATTTCTTCGGCCACCACGCGGCCCCTGCGACGGGTAAGTACATCGTACACTCGGCCCAGTACTTCGGTAGAGGTCTGGATTTCGAGCGTGTACATGGCGAGCATGAGTCTGGGAGACCAGTCGAGGAAGCCTGCGCGCACTGATGATTGGAACGCCTTGATGACTTCTCCTGTAAGTCTGCTCAGCTTATCGCGGGCGGACGTGTCATCCTCTGAGAGGTTGAGCGACACATCCTCGACGAAGACGGCAACTCCCTGCAAGGGCTCGTTACACAATGGTCCCTGCGCCGTTGCTAGTTGGAAAGCATATGTGATTTTGTCGGAGAGATGGCTGGGATGAAGTTTTTCGAGAGACTCAGATGCCGCGTCAGATGCCTTCGCTGAGGCAAAGATTTTGGGAAGAATACCATCCTTGGTGGCATCGATGAGGAGATTGGGTCCGGTTCGTCTGGGTCCAAATCCTGCGATCCGATCAATCAATCCCTTCCACCCTTCGCGGCCCTTTCCGGTTTCCAACTCTTTCTGCAACTGCGTTTTGAGCTCTTCCGCAGAGATGGCTGCACCAGCAGTGACCTCTGTATCAACCTCGATGGCTTCCTCGCTCTCTTCTCCGCTTTCCTCCTCTGCCGACCTGCGGACATTGTGCAATCGCTTGATGGCGTCGCCATTCTTGAGCAAAAATTCGGTAACGTTTGTAGGCAAAGGCTGTACACGAATGGTCAGATTGACCTGCTTCGAGCTCGTAGAAGATACAACAGTTCCGCGACCCAGATCCTTATTAACGGGAGGGCGCATTTCCTCTGCCTTGACAATCGTCTCTCTGTATGGCACGATGGGCGCGCCGGCTTGGATGTCACATCGTGCAAATCTTTCTTTCAAGTCCAGTAGACACCTCTCGAGATGAAGTTCACCAGCTGTCAGTAGGACGTGCTCTCCACTTGCAAACTGCTCGTACTCTGCACACGGGTCACTCTGAACAAGCAGATGCAATCCCTGGATCATCTTGTCCAGATCTGCAGGGTTTACCGGCTCAAGTGCAACACGAACGATGGGCTTCCCGGCCAAGCTGATACCCGCCAGGTTCACGGCGCCTTCAAGCTTGCTGCAGAGAGTTCCCGACTTGAGGATTTTGCCGTCTAAGCCTCCAATGCCAAAGACAACGCCCGCTGGTACCGTATCTAGCGCCTCAAGACTCCTTCCCATGAACATGTATAGTGATTTGACGGTGATTTGTTGAGGATCGGCCGCGTGAGGGTTGGCTGGTGTCCACTTAGGCGGGATGACGTATAATGTGTCTCCCACGGAGAGAGTTCCCGAGAAGATTCTCGCAAAGCCAATCAAATGCTCGGGATCAACCTTTTCCTCCTCGGCGGCTGGTGTCACATCATCAATATTAACAGACCCCAGTGCGTCGGTCAAACCAGCCACATCATCTTGGCTGTTGGCCGCAGCCAAGGCGGCAGCGGCAGCTCGCTTCTGCCGAGCCAATTCCCTCGCTTCCTCACCGGTCATTTGACCAGTGCGCCTCTTGTTTTCGGGGAGCTCGCTTTCAGGGACGGACACCATCTTGCTGACGTATGCGACGGCGGGGTCTGACTTGTCTGTCTTGAATGAGACCATGGCTTCTCTGACTGACTTGTCTACGAATTCTGAGTCTGGAGAGTCGTCGATGACGCTGGGGATCCGCTCAGCTTGTGCCACCGGGGGCGATGGGAGTGATTCGATAACCGAGACCAGCAAAGCAGTTGAAAGCGGCAGCCATGAAGCGAATACCGTGGTCAAGAGCAGTCGGGGATCTCTCGCGCGAAGGATGTGAGGAGCAATGCTGATGTTGAGTGACTTTGTGACTTTCTCGAGGAGTGCCGGATCTCCCTTGCCTCCATCGTCGCCAAGAGTAGCCTGGTAGACGGTCCAAACGGGCTCGAGAACCAGCTGGACAAACATGGGCTTGAGATTGCGGCCTTTGAGATGCTTTTGTCCGAGCACCTTTTTGGTCTTGGGGTCCAAATAAAAGTTGCCCCAAAGGCACCTCTCCATGATGCCTCGCTTGATTCCGAGCTTCTTTTCGTAAATGCTGGCGAATTGCCTGCAGGTAAATGCCCAACCATCAATGGCACTGCTGAAGATGACATTGTTCTTCTCGGGTGCAAAGTACAAATCCTCATCATCTAGTTCTTCGAACTGAAGGTCTCCTACTTCTGAGGCAGTGTCGCTTGCGGAGGCCTTTGTTGCGGCTGCAGCACTGACACGCTCCTCCATCTTCTCTCGCCAGTTGAGATCCTCCTCCATACGCTCTCCCTGGAAGAAGCTTCCCAGGACCGCATTGACCTGCTCCAGAAGTTTGCTGAGGTGGACGTACGCCTCTTGGGGCGTCATCTTGAGCTCCGTGACGAGTCTGTCGATTTTGTTGATGACCAGCAGTGGCTTGAGTTTTTCGA